TGGGCCTTTTTTCTTCACTAGATTCCACTTCACCCTTTCATATCGTCCAGGTTCTAAGAACATCAAAGCCAATGCCCTGTCCCGTCTCCACGATTTGAGAGAGGTTCCGATCCCTAGTGCGCCCATCATTCCACCCTCTCGAATCATTGCTCCCGTGCTCTGGGATGTATACGTGGACATCCGCCAGGCTCTGGAGAGGGAACCTGCGCCTACTACCTGCCCTCTGGAGCGCATCTACGTTCCCACTGGGGTATCACCCGCACTATCCACACCCTCTCCGTTAAGTACTGGTGGCCCACATTGGCGCAGGACGTCACCCGCTATATCAACTCCTGCTCCGTATGTGCCCAAACCAAATCTCCCCGGCACGCTCCAGCAGGGAAACTCCTTTCTCTTCTGGTGCCTCAGCAGCCTTGGTCACATCTGGCTATAGACTACGTAACTGATCTCCCTCTTTCTGATGGTTTTATCACTATTATGGTTGTTGTTGACAGATTCTCTAAATCCTGCTGTGTGATCCCTCTCTCTGGTCTACCTACCACTCTCCAGTTCGCTGAGGCACTATTCCAGCAGGTCTTCTGGCACGATGGCCTTCCAGAGGACATCGTTTCCGACCGTGGTCTCCAATTCACATAGCGGTTATGGAAAACCTTTATGGAAAAGTTGGGGGCCACGGTGAGCCTCACATCCGGGTACCGGCCTCAGTCCGATGGGCAGATGGAGAGGATCAACCAGGAGCTGGGGAGGTTCCTAAAGACTCACTGCCAGGACCGACAGGGGGAGTGGGCCCGGTTCCTTCCTTGGGCAGAGTACGCCCAGAACTCACTTCGGCAATCCTCCACTACGCTGACTCCCTTCCAGTGCGTCCTGGGATACCAGCCGGCCCCGGCTCCATGGACTTCGAGCCAGATGGAGGCCCCTGCAGTGGACGAGTGGTTCAGGCACACAGATGTGTGGAACGCCACCCACGTGAGGCTCCAGCGTGCCGTCCACCTTCAGAATGATCAGATGGACCACCACCGCAGTGAGGCTCCCGTGTTCCATCCTGGTGATCGCGTCTGGATCACCACCAGGAATCTCCCGCTCCGCCTGCCCTGCCGGTATCTGAGTCCCCGGTTTGTGGGGCCCTTCAAGGTCCCTGGAGGATCAATGAGGTAACATAATCTACAACTCCCATCCAACTACCGGATCTCACCATCCTTTCATGTCTACTTCCTCAGGCCGGTGGTTCCTGGTCCCCTGGCGGATGCCGTTCCCTGTGACACCTTTCCTCCTATCCTTCATGTTGAGGGGACCCCCGCCTATGCCGTATGGTCCCTCCTGGATTCCTGATGTCATGGGGGTCGGCTCCAGTACCTGGTGGACTGGTAGGGGTACGGTCCTGAGAAGCGCTTTTGGGTCCCGGTGGGGGGTACTGTCACGTCTACTCCCGCTCCCTCTCTCCAGTACTCGATGTCGCCGGTCTACTAACCACCGGCCCTGGCAACAATCGTTACGCACACCTGGTCATCATTATCTCCTTGATTACTCCCCCTTTATTTAGCCCTCAGTAGACAGCAGTCACTAGGTAGTTTTGTTTTCTCTCACGTTACGTACGCTTCTCATGTTATGTTCTTCTGCATTTAGTCTTTATTGAACTCATCTTCTACACCTGCTTCCCGACTCCCGGCGTATTACGTTACAACTGATGTGTCCAAGAGCATCGACGTAAATTATTCATCCAATCAGGGCCCATAGTTTTTCATGGTTGGGTCAGGAAAAAACACTGGCCCTAATCATTATTTTATCGTAACCACTCATTCCAAGAGAAAAGTCATGAATGAGTTCAAGGATACAGTCAGGGGCACAACTTTCACATTGCATTTTTTTCCCCTCCAGTTTTATCATTGGAATGTGAAACAAAACGAGGCAACAGTGTGCTTCAGAACCATGCGGACGCCTCCGAGCGGTTTATGCGACTGGATAAAAAAATCTAATGTCCCCCCCCTTCTAAAACCAAAGTTGCGCCCCTGGATACGGTTATTGGTTGACCTTTACAGGAAGCAACACATTACTGGTAGTCTTATCTATACTAAAATAGAGAACCCTGAAAGAAAAAGTACCTGCAGCTTTGACCTCCATGCAGGGTAGCTCTGACTGAGTGCAGCAAATGTATTTTTCCCTCTTGCTGAAATATAAATACACAAACATTTACTGAACCCCAACTCAAAATCACGCAAACAAATATTATCGCTGCTGAAACACTAGTGGTCACAAAGACGACACACAATTGCATATTTAGGCACACTCACTCATATTTACATGGTGACACTAAAGAGGCCAATTGGGGCCCTTTACGCAGTCTTTCTTACTGTCATGTGCACCGGGTGTAAATGCTGATAAGTTATAAGTCATCGTGGTAGCATTTACAAGATACAGCGGGAAGTGGATCTACACCTTTGCAAGTGTGACAGTTCTCCATGTCCCTTTAGAGGTGCAGTTTGTGTGTGTGTGTGCTTGGTGGCGACTTCATGTGAGATTACTCTCCTTCTATCACAATATCTTGTCTACCTCTGTTTTAGAATAACCAGACCTACAGCAGGTTGCTGAGTGAGTGGGAGAAAAACGACATTAAGTATAACACAGATGACAAGATGCTGAGCTTGCGTAATGAAATCAATTTGCCCAATGCTGGGGCAAGGAGGAGTGTGTACATTTCATTTCCTTTCTAAGCAAGAAACAAAATGCACTTGACATTTCCTATGGAATCCTCAGCAGTCTGTCATTTTGACCTTTCTGTCCGATTGTCACGTATGATTCTAATCCGACGAGTGGGACGACAGCAAAATTACTACGTCAGAAATACCAAGCGGTTGTATTTTTTTTGTTTAAGCTGGGCTGAAGTGCATTTGGGTGTACCATTTTAACAGTTGTATTAATAATTTTACATGCCGGCAGATTCCTATGAAAATGTACTATAGCAGAACCAAGCTAAGCGTGGACAGAATACCAACAGTTTCATGGGGGAACATCTCAAACTGACTAGCCAAAAATGGATGTAGCCCACAGGAGGTTGGTGGCACCTTAATTGGGGAGGACAGGCACATGGTAATGGTTGGAGTGGAATAGGTGGAAAGGTATGGATGTGTCTGATGCCATTCCATTTGCTCCGTTCCAGACATTATTATGAGCCGTCCTCACCTCAGCATCCTCCACTGACATAGCCTATGCGTAATGCACATCCCTTCCTGAAAACATTCACATTTAATTTAGTCAAATGAGGGTTAGTTATCCTCCCACAATGACAAGTTATGTATCATTAGATTTTATTCATTAGAAGATTAAGGGTATACTGGGTATCTTTCTTAAGGTCTGGATGCCTTATATGGAATACAGTACGACTAAAGGAGTCTGTATTGAAAACATGCCCACGTCAGGGGAGATACCTATTTAGGCCATCTCTAGCTGCTGGGCTGATCAGTCCTGTCCCTGGGGGTCTGCCGTCCTGTGGGTTGTCACTCTGGCCTTGGCCTAACACACCTGATACCAATAATGAATGTTTCACTAAGAAAGCAGCAATATCCTTGCCTGTGAAGCCCTTTTTGTGCAAAGCAATGATGATGGCATGTGTTTCCTTGCAGGTAACCATGGCTAACAGAGGAAGAACAATGATTTCAAGCACCACCCTCCTTTTTAAAGCTTCCAGTCTGTTAGTCTAACTCAATCAGCATGACAGAGTGATCTCCAGCCTTGTCCTCGTCAACACTCCCACCTGTGTTAATGAGAGAATCACTGACATGATGGCAGCTGGTCCTTTTGTGGCAGGGCTGAAATGCAGTGGAAATGTTTTTGGGGGATTAAGTTCATTTTCATGTCAAAGAGGGACTTTGGAATTCATCGCAATTCATCTTCATGACATTCTGGAGTATATGCAAATTGCCATCATCAAAACTGAGGCAGCAGACTTTGTGAAAATTAGTATTTGTGTCATTCTCAAAACTTTTGACCACAACTGTACTTTTTTTTGTATTATTTATTATTCAAATTCCATTGACAATACAAAAACATAGAATATCAATACAAATATATTTTTCAATCTGTAAACATTAAATAAAGAAAGAAAATAAAGAAAAAAGAAGAATCACTACACATGAATACATTAAGATGTCAGAAACATTTTACATTCCTTTTGCAGATAAAAATGTAAAAGGATCAGGGGTTACATTTGTTTAAAATTGTTATAATGTTGTAAGAATATATTGTTCTTCTTGTCATTGACTAATTCTAGAGATTTTAATAAAGATTGCATTTTAGGCACATATTTCAAATAGGCTATTTGTGTTTGTGTATGAAGTATTTACCAGATAGTATCAAGAGTTAACAATGAACTCAGTAGCTTTGTTTTCATTCGAATCTTTCACTGTAAATACATGGGCCTTATTAATGAAATAAAACTTGTAATTACTTAGCTTCTGGCTCTAAAATAACTTCACAAGATTAACAGTTGCGCAAATGCAGGCTAGATGAGTTTATGACGTAGCCATGTCTCTGTCGAAAGTTATTTCACAATCACATGGTAGCGCATTCAACATATAAAAAGAGAGGGTAGTGTCTAATAAAATTACAGATTGTGTTATATATTATCAATATGAATAGATCATTATTACAATTATTTTTGTGTTATATATTATCAATATGAATAGATCATTATTACAATTATTTCTCATCAGAATATAGGGGAATGAAAAGTTTAATTTACGTGTGATGTTTTCCATCAGGAAGTTGAATTGACGAATCTACACATGTGAATCATAAATCATATTTACTAACTTTTCCAACATGGCTGCACATGTCAGAAATATGTTTTGTGAGTATGTTTATTGTGGCATTTCGCACCTTTTCTTTTAAACAAGAAAGAAAGACTTTGTAGTACGACAATAATTGAACGATAGTGATATAACTTAACTAACGTTAGTTAGCGCACTAGATTTCTTTTACGTGTTTTCACGTGCGAATTTGGAATGTATCGGCGCGGCGGGGGCAAGAGGGACCACAACAACAAGCCGGTGAAGAAGGATGAGAGCGACAGCAAAAAATATGCCGAGCTTTTGGTGTTCGGCTATGCCTGCAAGCTGTTCCGGGACGACGAGAGGGCTCACTTCCACGAGCAGGGCAAACAGCTCATACCATGGATGGGGGACAAGAACATCCTGATTGATAGGTCGGTTGAACAAACCTAGACGGAATTGTTATCCTAACCAACTTTCCTAATCAGATCTGTCTTTCGAAGGGACCGATCGGATTATTGTTTTGCTGAAGGCGTAGTTTACCAAAATATAACTGTGTGCGAACCATTTATCTAGCTTCCTTAATAATGTAAGTTTTGTCCTCATGAATGCGAAGATGCATTAGCTATTAACAAAAGGTAGCAGAGCATCATGTCAAGATGCTATGTTCTCCACAAGTTGGGTCATATTTCAACAGTGAACAAGCTCTACATGAGACTGACAGTTGTCTAAAATGGCCCCTTAAAAAATTGTCATAAATCAATGTACTTGTTTACAGGGCTTTGGACTATAGATAGTCTACTAGTAATATTGTATTCAATGTAGTATTATGTAACTGCCCATTGCCCTTTTAAGGGAGGCCTATGCGTGTTGGTGTATTTGGATTTGCTCTGGTAGCTTCAACATGAGAATATTCAGTTAAGTATATATTCAGTTCAGTTTCTTTCCAACACGATTTGGATGTAAACAACCTAAGATCTCTAAATGCATTTCACTAAACTGCATTCAAATGAGAACTTCAAACCTTACCAGCAAGTCGCCTACGAATCTAATTTGTTGATAATACCACAGCAAATTCAACCCAAACTTCTGCTATACGTCAAATATGTGAAATAAGGTGGTTCACAGTAATTACTGTCAAAATGTAGGTTCTTATACTGTTGACTAATGCCTGCCAAGTATCCCAGCTCTGTTGTTTCCCTTTTGCTTTCAGTTGTTCTTTTCTAATGACATTTTCTTGCAGGCTGTAAAGCATGTTGGCAATGATGACCTGTAAAAGTAGTTGTTTATTTGGAAATAAACCCACTTGAACCATGAAGGGAGTGACATTATGTTGGACCTTCATGATCTCGTTGAGCCACCTTAATCTTTTTGGCCGTGTCTCTTGTTTCCAATGTATTTGTGTTTCTCTATCACATAACCAGCCCTTATTTCCCCAGCTAGTAGCCTAAGGCTAAGGGGTCCTGCCTGGCCCCCCAATGCCAACCCCAGTGCCCACTTATCTCTTTCGACGAAGAAACTCTGGAGAAGTGGAAGAGAGGAGCGAACGCAGGAAAATTTCGTCCGTTTGGGTTCTTACGGATAGGTATTTATGTGCTCGGGTTTGTGTGGATGTACCTTTTTTACAGATATAGGAGGAGTGGTGAGTGTTATAGGGGGGAAACTTGAACCCTGTAAGGTAAGAGGCGAGTTGTTTTCTTTTGGTTTGTTTTTCTGTTCATGCAGGGCTGTTGCTCCGTAGCAATTTGTTGAGAGATCAATGAGATTCATTGAGTAAGCTTGCCAGAAAACTGCACTAGAGAGCCTATGTCAGGAGTTGTTCAGGTTAGTCTGTCTTTATTGTGACGAGATTGCTCAGTTCCAGTACCATACACTCCCTCATGAAAGACTTGTGACTGAGGTAGCACGTTTTGTTGTTAAAAACTCGTTGTTTTAGGGTCCTACCTGTGTTGGTAAGTAGGTCCGTGTGTTGACCTTTCTCACAATTGGCTTGCTCTATTTCTCTAACCCCTCTCTTCACCCTACAGGTATGATGGGCGTGGTCACTTACATGACCTCTCGGAGTATGACGCGGGCTCGTGGAACAGAGACTACCAGCTGTCCGAGGAGGAGGCCAGGATCGAGACCCTGTGTGATGAGGAAAGGTACCTGGCCATGCACACAGACCTGCTGGAGGAAGAAGCCAGACAAGGTAGGCCTATCAGAGTCACAGCTGGGGGCATCATACTCTGTCTGTGGTGTCTGAACTGCTGCACAATGCCTCGGCTCATCTGGATAAGCTGTGGAAGACAGTGGTGAATTAATTATTTCAGGAAGTGCCCATGCGTTTCAATTACACATATATCAGTATGTGGGGACATCACTCAATTCAGCATCTGCATTTGCCATCTGTTTCAGATGACAGGAAGTTCTACCTGAAAGGAGAACAAAAACACTATGCAACAATTAGGTTCTACATAAGGTGCCAAAGTGAATAATGGAATGAATCCCCTTGTGTTCACTGAGCGGAATGAGCTTTCAAAAGGCTGTTTCAATGATGTATTCTGCAACACCTCCATCATCAACAGAATGTGTTCAGGCACTGGAAGGTTGTTTTGATTGCAGTATGGTAATGTGCCCTTCTCTCTGTACTGGCAACAGAAAGGCCATGTTATCCTAGGTAATAACCTCGGTTCAATTTTCACATTCTGATCTACTGATCTGAATCCTATTTGGATGGGAAAGAGAAGTCTGGTAGTAAAGCTATGTCAAAGACGGTGAGAGAGTTTATGAGAGGGTAGATTCTCAGCAGCCTAAAGTACGGGGGTCATTTCAGTGCATGCAGACCCTCTAGTAAGTAGGTTTGCGAGGTCCATGATAAAATGTTCAGTATTTTCTCAGACAACCACTGTCTGGTTGAATGACTGATTATAGACTATTGTTGAGACTTAGGCTATGTTTACTGTTTAATTTGTCATTTCCAATGGGAATCAGCATCAGTTGTGCTGCCTTGGACAATGTTATAAACATGCCTTCATGTTCAATTTATTTCATGTACTTTTAACCACTCTTTCTGTCCTTGTCTGATGTTCCATGCAAAAGTACAGTGCCTTGCAAAAGTATTCATCCCCCTTGGTGTTTTTCCTATTTTGTTGCATTTCAACCTGTAACTTAAATTGATTTTTATTTGGATTTCATATAATGGACATACACAAAATAGTCCAAATTGGTAAAGTGAAATGAAAAAAATAACTTGTTTCAAAAAATTCTAAAAAAGAAATAACGGAAAAGTGGTGTGTGCATATTTATTCACCCCCTTTGCTATGAAGCCCCTAAATAAGATCTGGTGCAACCAATTACCTTCAGAAGTCGCATAATTAGTTCAATTGCACACAGGTGGAGTTTATTTAATTGTCACATGATCTCAGTGTATATATACACCTGTTCTGAAATGCCCCAGAGTCTGCAACACCACTAAGCAAGGGGCACCACCAAGCAAGCGGTACCATGAAGACCAAGGAGCTCTCCAAACAGGTCAGGGACAAAGTTGTGGAGAAGTACAGATCACGGTTGAGTTATAAAAAAAAATATCAGAAACTTTTAACATCCCACGGAGCACCATTAAATCCATTGTTAAAAAATGGAAAGAATATGGCACCACAACAAACCTGCCAAGAGGGGGCCGCCCACCAAAACTCACGAACCAGGCAAGGAGTGCATTAATCAGAGAGACAACAAAGATAACCCTGAAGGAGCTGCAAAGCTCTACAGCGTAGATTGGCGTATCTGTCCATAGGACCACTTTAAGCCGTACACTCCACAGAGCTGGGCTTTACGGAAGAGTGGCCAGAAAAAAGCCATTGCTTAAAGAAATAAATAAGCAAACACGTTTGGTGTTCGCCAAAAGGCATGTGGGAGACTCCCCAAACATATGGAAGAAGGTACTCTGGTCAGATTAGACTAAAATTGAGCTTTTTGGCCATCAAGGAAAACACTATGTCTGGCACAACCCCAACACCTCTCATCACCCCGAGAACACCATCCCCACAGTGAAGCATAGTGGTGGCAGAATCAAGCTGTGGGGATGTTTTTCATTGGCAGGGACTGGGAAACTGGTCTGAATTGAAGGAATGATGGATGGCGCTAAATACAGGAACATTCTTGAGGGAAACCTGTTTCAGTCTTCCAGAGATTTGAGACTGGGACGGAGGTTCACCTTCCAGCAGGACAATGACCCTAAGCATACTGCTAAAGCAACACTTGAGTGGTTTAAGGGGAAACATTTAAATGTCTTGTAATGGCCTAGTCAAAGCCCAGACCTCAATCCAATTGAGAATCTGTGGTATGACTTAAAATTGCTGTACACCAGCGGAACCCATCCAACTTGAAGGAGCTGGAGCAGTTTTGCCTTGAAGAATGGGCAAAAATCCCAGTGGCTATATGTGCCAAGCTTATAGAGACATACCCCAAGAGACGTGCAGCTGTAATTGCTGCAAAAGGTGGCTCTACAAAGTATTGACTTTGTGGGGGGTGAATAGTTATGCACGCTCAAGTTTTTCTGTCTTATTTCTTGTTTGTTTCACAAAAAAAAATATTTTGCATCTTCAAAGTGGTAGGCATGCTGTGTAAATCAAATGATACAACCCCCCCCCCAAAATCAATTTTAATTCCAGGTTGTAAGGCAACAAAATAGGAAAAATTCCAAGGGGGTGAATACTTTCGCAAGCCACTGTACCTCTCGTGTCCAAAGATGTATATTTTATTGCCTTGAGTGGTGAAATGCCCATCATTTTAAACACATTTGTATTCACTACAACCGCTGGGCATCGATGGACCCCCCCTTCAAGCTAATGAGCAGTTATTCTGACTGCAACATTCTAACAGTATAATTTATATATTTTATATATGCTATTTGAAAAATAATAATTTGGTTTTGTTTATGAAGCCTTGGGTAACATTAGAATACGATTTGTATTTTATTTCAAGTAACACTAGCATTTTCATGAGTTTATGTTACGGCTATATGTAAAAATTCAAATGTTCAATCAATTTTATTTGTTACAACTGTTAGGTTCTGACAAAAACAGAGTCAACTCACGGACAACTAAGAAATGCTCAAACCAAGTGTCAAGAGTTGCTGTAGGTAGGTGTGGTGTGGAATCAGGCGCAGGACGCAGAAGTTAAGTCCAAACAAAGTCTTTAGTAGATCAACACAAAATAATCCAAGAACAGCCCGGAGGCGAGAAAAGCGAGCACAGGCGTAACCAAACGGGCGCACTAAACATGTGCGTAAATCTCTCCTAAAACAACAAGGAGGCAAACTACTAAATAGCGCACCAAAATAGGTAGCGCAGCAACACGGCAAGAAAACAATTACACACAACACCTAACTAACAACAAGGAACTAAATAGGGTGCTTAATGAGACATAACACAAAACAGGTGTGACAAACAGACAAAACCAATCAAACAAGAAACATAGAACGGTGGCAGCTAGTACTCCGGAGACGACGACCGCCGAAACCTGCCCGAACAAGGAGGAGGGGCCGCCTCGGCCGAAACCGTGACACCAAGTTTATTCACCCAATGGGTCAAACAGCTGAATGACAAAAAACATGTTCCCACCAGCACTAGTGTGTGTGTGTGTGTGTGTGTATATATATATATATATATATGTATATATACCCCACTTTAGGTGAAGTCTCCTTCTTTCTCTAAACATTAGATCTTTATTGCTAGGCAGGAAGTTAAATGATGTGGGTAATAAACTGTTCCTTGTGACCTGACCTCGGCCCCCATTCCTCACTAATCCACAGCTATCCACCCTTATCTGACCCCACCATATACATTCCTACTACAGTGAGGGAAAAAAGTATTTGATCCCCTGCTGATTTTGTACGTTTGCCCACTGACAAAGAAATGATCAGTCTATAATTTTAATGGTAGGTTTATTTGAACAATGAGAGACAGAATAACAACAAAAAATATCCAGAAAAATGCATGTCAAAAATGTTATAAATTGATTTGCATTTTAATGAGGGAAATAAGTATTTGACCCCCTCTCAATCAGAAAGATTTCTGCCTCCCAGGTGTCTTTTATACAGGTAACGAGCTGAGATTAGGAGCACACTCTTAAAGGGAGTGCTCCTAATCTCAGTTTGTTACCTGTATAAAAGACACCTGTCCTCAGAAGCAATCAATCAATCAGATTCCAAACTCTCCACCATGGCCAAGGCCAAAGAGCTCTCCAAGGATGTCAGGGAAAGATTGTAGACCTACACAAGGTTGGAATGGGCTACAAAACCATCGCCAAGCAGCTTGGTGAGAAGGTGACAACAGTTGGTGCGATTATTCGCAAATGGAAGAAACACAAAAGTACTGTAAATCTCCCTCGGCCTGGGGCTCCATGCAAGATCTCACCTCGTGGAGTTGCAATGATCATGAGAACGGTGAGGAATCAGCGCAGAATTACACGGGAGGATCTTGTCAATGATCTCAAGGCAGCTGGGACCATAGTCACCAAGAAAACAATTGGTAACACACTACGCCGTGAAGGACTGAAATCCTGCAGCGCCCGCAAGGTCCCCCTGCTCAAGAAAGCACATATACAGGCCCGTCTGAAGTTTGCCAATGAACATCTGAATGATTCAGAGGAGAACTGGGTGAAAGTGTTGTGGTCAGATGAGACCAAAATCGAGCTCTTTGGCATTAACTTAACTCGCCGTGTTTGGAGAAGGAGGAATGCTGCCTATGACCCCAAGAACACCATCCCCACCGTCAAACATGGAGGTGGAAACATTATGCTTGGACGGGGCCATAGGCAGCATTCCTCCTCCTCCAAACACGGCCATGTACCGTCAAATCTTGGGTGAGAACCTCCTTCCCTCAGCCAGGGCATTGAAAATGGGTCGTGGATGGGTATTCCAGCATGACAATGACCCAAAACACACGGCCAAGGCAACAAAGGAGTGGCTCAAGAAGAAGCACATTAAGGTCCTGGAGTGGCCTAGCCAGTCTCCAGACCTTAATCCCATAGAAAATCTGTGGAGGGAGCTGAAGGTTCGAGTTGCCAAATGTCAGCCTCAAAACCTTAATGACTTGGAGAAGATCTGCAAAGAGGAGTGGGACAAAATCCCTCCTGAGATGTGTGCAAACCTGGTGGCCAACTACAAGAAACGTCTGACCTCTGTGATTGCCAACAAGGGTTTTGCCACCAAGTACTAAGTCATGTGGTTCTCTGTAGCTCAGCTGGTAGAGCACGGCGCTTGTAACACCAAGGTAGTGGGTTCGATCCCCGGGACCACCCATACACAAAAAAAAAATTATGCACGCATGACTGTAAGTCGCTTTGGATAAAAGCGTCTGCTAAATGGCATATTATATATTATTATATTATTATTATCATGTTGTGCAGAGGGGTCAAATACTTATTTCCCTCATTAAAATGCAAATCAATTTATAACATTTTTGACATGCGTTTTTCTGGATTTTTTTGTTGTTATTCTGTCTCTCACTGTTCAAATAAACCTACCATTAAAATTATAGACTGATCATGTCTTTGTCAGTGGGCAAACGTACAAAATCAGCAGGGGATCAAATACTTTTTTCCCTCATTGTACATATATCCATTAACTTCTTGTTTAGCAAGTATTTCAAATTACAACCCAACAACTGAAACTAGACTGTGGCCCTTCTCCTCTCCATAGGATATTTCACATTTCAAGTTTAGAACCCATCACAACTATAAAACAGAAAGCATATGTGTTGGGACATGGTAACAGATCATTTTTATTGAGACAAAATAAAAAATACCTCAACCACCAAGAAGCATGGTCAAAAGACGTGCAGTGAAATGATGAAAACATCAGTAGCCTAACCACCATCATAAGCTCCAAGTGGCCGTGATAAATGGTGAAACTCAGCACAATAATGGCATTATAATGATATTATAATGATATGTGTCTATATGATAGCAGTCAAAAATAGTCAATTATTGTCAGCTCGTGCTTTTGTGCAGCTTCACACAATGTCATCAGTTGGATTTCATTTTGCTGTTATCCCTTGTCCTAACAGTTGACATAATTTTCATAACTTTCACTTGCTTGACACACTTTGACGTACCTTTGTTTGGTTGTAGTGCGTAATTGTATCCGATTTTCTCTTGATTGTGTCCTGTTGTGTTGTGATTTTTCAGCACCGTTGTGGAGTACAACGGCTGTGCAGGTGCCTTATTTTGCGCAGAGGGAGGGAATTCCCATCTCACTTTGTTCATGGTGTTGGCCAGACTTGTTTTCTTTGCAAGCAACTTGTTCGCCAATGACAGTGAAGTACAGAAATTGTCCATGATGACATTTCTCCCCTTGTCATCGTAAGGTTCCACAAGCATCATCACATTCTCCGACACTCGTGCCTGCTGCCCGATGTTGATATTTTCCCAGAGATTGAAAGCAGTTCAGCATATACAGTTACACACGCGCTCGCTGCGTAGCCTACTCCAAGGAGGCCAGAGTAGACTGATAAGACCACTTGGATTTGGTGAACTGATATAGTGTACAAACCATTTAAAGATTAGGCCTATAATTAGACTGGATCAATACAATAGAATGGCCCGCCCTGTTCTTCATTCACAATTGGTGATTACATAATTATGCTCATTTCGCTTCCCCTCGCTCATCAACTCACCCATTCTCCCCATCATACTTAATTTATTTAAACTGTTATGTGTGAAATTAGTTTCGGTATAGTTTAGGTTCAGTTTTGAGGCAATTGTCCGGGGGATTATCAACTGGGCACTGCACTTTCAACTGTCGTAAGAAGGAGCGGAGCAGGTCCTACTGTTGGGAGAAGGAATCGTTTTTGAAAACTATTCAAAAAAATGACATGCCCTCCTCAAACTGGTGATAACTCCAGTTTTGTTTGTGATTTTAAGATTCTAACAACGGCAGTGTTATATACTTATTTAGCAAAAGTCAAGGACGGGGGCATGAGTAAATAATTGTCAGAGTAATAAAAGTAAATAAATCATGAGCAGTCAAAATGACTGCTTTAGCGGTTCTAGTGTTAAGGCTACAAACACAGACTAGCCTAAGGTTATTTTAGCAATGCTGCAAACTTTATAGCAAGGAGTTTGTTACTTATAATGAAATAGCACTAACGATTAGATAAAGAATCACCTTTACTAAATTGAATAGTTTCCAAGGGTTTAAGTGAAATGTGGTGTTTAATTCCCAAACTGACAGGATTGTATGAGTCATCATATAATTTGTGTTACTTTTGTCCCCTCACGCTGGTTTGCCCTTGGGTAGTGGGGCTTTAGCAATTATCCATCTGTCCATTGTGGGAACACAAGACACATAAAAAATATTGATCATGTTAGATGTGATTTTGTCCTTCATTCCTCACTGTCCTTAACTATGAGACACATTGCATTAGAAAAGTGGGGTTTTGTAAGGTAAGACAAAATTCCATCTGGTTTAGTTTCTGTTATGTCAGCTCTCAGCTTACGACACTGTTCACATCCTTGAAACTAGCTAGGATGGATGGAATGATGATTTTGAATGAATCCACTGCTTTTGTCTCATGCTAGAGGCAATCCTTACAGTAGCCTTCTATGACTGTGCTTTCCATTAAATCTACCGTGCCATTCTCATGACTCTTTTTTTATTATGTATGTTTGACCCACACAGAGGAAGAATACAAGCGTCTGAGTGAAGCTCTGGCAGATGAAGGCACCTATAACTCAGTGGGCTTCCGCTACAGCGCAGACTACTACGACCCTTCTCAACCCACTGAGGAAGAGGAGGCCAAAAGGGAGACTGGTGAACACACACACACACACTTTAAACAATTTACAGTGGGGGAAAAAAAAGTATTTAGTCAGCCACCAATTGTGCAAGTTCTCCCACTTAAAAAGATGAGAGAGGCCTGTAATTTTCATCATAGGTACACGTCAACTATGACAGACAAAATGAGGATTTTTTTTCTCCAGAAAATCACATTGTAGGATTTTTAATGAATTTATTTGCAAATTATGGTGGAAAATAAGTATTTGGTCAATAACAAAAGTTTCTCAATACTTTGTTATATACCCTTTGTTGGCAATGACACAGGTCAAACGTTTTCTGTAAGTCTTCACAAGGTTTTCACACACTGTTGCTGGTATTTTGGCCCATTCCTCCATGCAGATCTCCTCTAGAGCAGTGATGTTTTGGGGCTGTCGCTGGGCAACACAGACTTTCAACTCCCTCCAAAGATTTTCTATGGGGTTGAGATCTGGAGACTGGCTAGGCCACTCCAGGACCTTGAAATGCTTCTTACGAAGCCACTCCTTCGTTGCCCAGGCGGTGTGTTTGGGATCATTGTCATGCTGAAAAACCCAGCCACGTTTCATCTTCAATGCCCTTGCTGATGGAAGGAGGTTTTCACTCAAAATCTCACGATACATGGCCCCATTCATTCTTTCCTTTACACGGATCAGTCGTCCTGGTCCCTTTGCAGAAAAACAGCCCCAAAGCATGATGTTTCCACCCCCATGCTTCACAGTAGGTATGATGTTCTTTGGATGCAACTCAGCATTCTTTGTCCTCCAAACACGACGAGTTGAGTTTTTACCAAAAAGTTATATTTTGGTTTCATCTGACCATATGACATTCTCCCAATCCTCTTCTGGATCATCCAAATGCACTCTAGCAAACTTCAGACGGGCCTGGACATGTACTGGCTTAAGCAGGGGGACACGTCTGGCACTGCAGGATTTGAGTCCCTGGCGGCATAGTGTGTTACTGATGGTAGGCTTTGTTACTTTGGTCCCAGCTCTCTGCAGGTCATTCACTAGGTCCCCCCGTGTGGTTCTGGGATTTTTGCTCACCGTTCTTGTGATCATTTTGACCCCACGGGGTGAGATCTTGCGTGGAGCCCCAGATCGAGGGAGATTATCAGTGGTCTTGTATGTCTTCCATTTCCTAATAATTGCTCCCACAGTTGATTTCTTCAAACCAAGCTGCTTACCTATTGCAGATTCAGTCTTCCCAGCCTGGTGCAGGTCTACAATTTTGTTTCTGTTGTCCTTTGACAGCTCTTTGGTCTTGGCCATAGTGGAGTTTGGAGTGTGACTGTTTGAGGTTGTGGACAGGTGTCTTTTATACTGATGACAAGTTCAAACAGGTGCCATTAATACAGGTAACGAGTGGAGGACAGAGGAGCCTCTTAAAGAAGAAGTTACAGGTCTGTGAGAGCCAGAATTATTGCTTGTTTGTAGGTGACCAAATACTTATTTTCCACCATAATTTGCAAATAAATTCATTAAAAATCCTACAATGTGATTTTCTGGAGAAAAAAAATCTCAGATTGTCTGTCATAGTTGACGTGTACCTATGATGAAAATTACAGGCCTCTCTCATCTTTTTAAGTGGGAGAACCTACACAGTTGGTGGCTGACTAAATCCTTTTTTCCCCACTGTATTTTAATCCATAAATCACATTACAGTCCAAAAGGATTTAAACATTTCATAGTTTACTCACGCATACATATTTACAACTCCTGACCACTTTCAACCACTGAACATCTCTCCTCTGACCTGCCCTTAGAGGGTGAGAGAGGAGAAAGAGAGAAAGTGTCTGAACTTTTACACACACACACACACGCTAGACACATGAATGCGCTGGTGGAGAGGCTCGCACATCAGCTTCAATAAAAACCCTGTGATTCATTATTTATCATGGCAGGCTCCCCGGAGACACATAAACCACTACTTGAAGCCCTGGAGCTATAAAAAATAACAATTTTCAAGATTCAGCTCTGAATGTGAAATAGCTTACTGGCTTGCTACTGTACTGACTGTTAATCACCTGTGAAGTCCAATACTGGGTTCCAGCCCCTCCACTATGCCCTGTTTTGGCCCACACTCTAACCACATGAATACTGTTTGGTTTCCCAGAGACAGCCTGCACCAGCCAGTCCAAGTATCCACACATATTGAGGGTAAACCGAGTCCAAAATAAGTAATTGCCTTGCCGCTCATGCATATTCATAAGCACCTGGCCGCCTCCTCACCGGCAGGAGACATTGTCTCAAAGCCTGAGGCACTTAGCAAGAGAATCTGTTACCTCATTGGCACTAAAGTGTATTTGCTTTGGATGTGACAGTCAATGTCAGTCCGACATCTTGACTGGCAGCCTAACACTGGGGGAGGGAGTGTTGGAGTGTTAATGCTGAGTGTTAATGATGATAGTGGCTGTCAGGATGCTCTACTCCGCGCCAGGCCTGGCTCTCTCCTCTAATTGGACAGTCATTTATAAGACCGCAAACAGCATACTCTTCTGCAGCTTGATGTCTGTTGAAAAAATCCTAAGTACCAGGCCCATTTATCAGCCGGGTCACTGCTTCTATCAAGACCCAATGTCCCTATCAGCCCAACCATACTAGCCCACACATTGTCAACGTGGAAATTAACCTTGTAAAGCTGGCAACACTTATACCACCCCTCCCCGCGCCCGCCCACCTCTAGCCAATGCCCATGTGCCCCTCCCTCAGCAGATGGTACAGTACTACTGCTGTGTGTCTGAGTGCTGTCATCAGTACCATGTAACCTGGCCCAGCGCTGCCTGGGATTACTCAGCCGTACAACCCCCCTCAACTGTGTGTTAACAGAGACGAAAGGAGAAGAGAGGAGTCGATTTGTCAAGGATGGAGTTCTCAGCATGAACCAATCATTTGGCTCTGTTGTGGTGTCGGGCAGGGGCACACCTCGGGCAACCGGCTGAGCCCTTGATTAAATCAGCACAAACAGTGGTGTCCATTAACCGTAAAAAGGTGCAAGAGGAATCTAAGCTGGGCTCCTTGGCTGCCATGTGCTTACCCCCTACATCCATCTGCAACCTCCCAACCGTGAACCAACGCATACAATTCTAATCTAATTTCCAGCTGACTTGTCTGCCTATTATTTCACACTGGGGGGAGGCGGTTGGATGTTGTAAATAATTGTGACAGGGACCGCGGCCTCCCGGAAAGTTAAGAGTAAGTAAAGCTGAAACTTTGAGTGCCTCGGGCAACGTGGCCGGATGAGAGTGGGTAGAGGAAGGAGAGGAGGAAACGTTGAGTGGTTGTGTGGCACAGTGACTCTAGGGTGAATTCTAATCTATTTTCTTCTCCTCTTCTCTCTCTGACCTTGTGGGTTGTTCCCCATCAGAAGAAGCAGAGCCGCAGGAGAGCGAGGAACCCTACGTGGCACCCCCGGGTCTGGCGATCCCCCCCGATGTGGAGCTGGTGAGTGCCCTGCACAACGTCCCACTGCTTCATGCTTAAACCATTCTGCACCACAGGGGTGCAGAATCGGTTTTGGGCAGATCAGAGTCATAACTACATTTGAAAATGTTGGGTCAGGGGGTCAACGGTTCCTTTTCTATAACAATCCCTGTTATGGTGCCACAGAGAGAGAATAGGAAGGGAGCAGAGATACCAGCAGAACTTAGTCCTAGCTTGTGAGGGCTGTGTGCAGGGTAGTATTGATGTTGTGAGGCCGATCAGACTGCTGACAGACATGTGGTGAGGCCGGAGGCAAACGATAAGGTGTCTGATCTGGAGGAGGTTATTGAGGTCATCACACATCCTGGAGCCTGGGAGGAGACTGAGAAGAGGAGTCTGTGCTGCCTTGGTTTGCATCAGCCAGTATCAGGGGTCTGCATCTCAATCCACTAGGACAGACTGTCCACTCCACTTCTGCTGCTTCCCCCATTGACTGCCGCTCGCCTTTCATCTGCAGGCTCCTTCTTATACGAGACGGGGAGGCTTTCATCACAGCATGGCAGCATGGCCTCGATTCTCACACACACACACCCTATCTGACTTCAGACTGACGCAAACACACACACACTGACATACACACAGAGATACACACACACACACACACTGACATACACACAGAGATACACACACACACACACAAAGTGATTCAATAAAGATGCATGTGACAGAGTTCTCCCTCACTCTGGCTGTCAAAGCGTCCTCTGTGATGTCCAGAGTAGACACACACTGAGACAATGGGCCCACCCACGTCTCAGAATCCTTACCTGCTGATTTCTTTCCACGTGTCCTTATAATGAGATTTCGATTTGGGACCCAGCAAAGCCCTTCCAATTGCTCTGCCTCGAAACGGTCAATTAGTCAAAGCCGGCACCATTCTCAGAATATCTGATCTGAATTATTATTCTGGAAATGTGGCTGTATTTCCCCCACGTTATCACGAGTGTGAGTTCTCAGGCAGCACAGGCAGACGGTCTGACAACCTGGGGAGAAGGAATCAGCTCTCTCGCTCTGCTCTCTCTCTGTGTATCATGACTCCATAAGAAGTTAGTGGTTCCACATTTATTTTCATAATTGCAAGGTTATTTGCCGCTACGGAGCTTTCTGCTCTCGCAAGCGCTTGGAGGCTCTGAATGCATTAGGAGTGTATGTGTAGAGGGACGCTACTACTGAGTGCAGGCCTTAGCGTCTCCTCTCCAAAGGTCTTCATTTAATATTCATTATTTCAGATTTTCACAATTGTTGCTCTCTCTTTTTTGGGACTCTGATGGTAACTAACGAGAATGATTCATCATTGAAAGTACACAGACGCAGTGATATTGAATAATGTATCACATCAAATCCCAATGATTTCCATCTTGTATCTATTTTGTAAATGAGTGTTAAAGTGAAGAAGCCATTAAACCTCAGCTACAGTCTTTAGAAAATAGAATTTGGGGAACTTTGATTTGGCCCCACCAAGAACACTCAGACACTCAAAGTCCAGTTTCATGTTTCGTTGTATTTACTTTTTCATCTTTGCTTCTGAAGTGATTGCTCTTTCTCTTATGCCTCAGTTATAAAATACAGTTCGCATGTATGAAGTGTCTCAGAGTAGGAGTGCTGATTTAGGATCACCGTTACTTATTAGACCACAATTAATCATATTAAATGGACAGGGGGACCTGATCCTAGATCAGCACTCCTTCTCTGAGATGCTTGATACATACTGCCACAGGTTGTCACCTATCCTTAACCCCACACTTCTTTTGCCCTGCCTCATTGATAACGGCCCTGTCTGCTGACTTAGTGTGTGTGCTCTTCCTCTCTCCTCTCCAGCCAGCGACCACCAAAACCCATGCCATCATCGAGAGGACCGCCAACTTTGTGTGCCAGCAGGGGGCCCAGTTTGAGATTGTTTTGAAAGCCAAGCAGTCTGGCAACTCCCAGTTTGACTTCCTGAACTTTGAACACTACCTGAACCCCTACTACAAACACATCCTGAAGGCCATGAAGGAGGGCCGCTACACCCCTGCCTCCGACAAGCAGGACTCACAGGGTAAGTCACAGGGGTCAAAGAGGTTAACAAAAAGAGTTCATATAGAAGGTGTTGTAAATAATGTATGGGATACATAGTTCCATACTACCTAATACGTAATATATGTGGAAGTCTTAGAGAGCAGGTCCACAGAATACATGTTAACAACACAATACACGAACCGAGTTCAGAATGCAAGGACTTGAGACATTAACTGTTTTCATACTTTAATGTCTTTCTATAGTCTCTGATGATTCTGATGATTCTGACGATGATGGGGATGGTAACTACCTCCACCCCAGCCTGTTTGCTCCTAAGAAGAGTTCTCGCCTTGAGGAGCTGATGAAGGTAAGGACTAGAGCTGTGACTGTCATGGAATAGCTTTGACTGTCATGGAATTTTGGATCACTGTTATTGGTCAGCCAAATGACTGCGGTCAGCGTAATAACCATTCAGAAAATAAAGAATACTTTTTTAAGACACACATTTTCTCTCCACCGCTCCTCACTGCATGTGCTGCCATAGAAATAGAATGAAGAGAACGGGCTTCCCCATTCAAGTCAATGATGGCATAATGGGTGGACTGGTGCCCATTGCGAGTGTTCCCATAAGAGTAAAGCAGGAAGTAAAAGCAGGAAGTGTAACCATCAATATGTGCTGTGATTTGTTGATTCAACTCAACTGACATTACAAAAAAGACATTCCATTGCATGAGCCATATCAGTTAAACCCCCTAGTCGATGTCCGCTCCCCCTCAAAAATCGATTTAGCATAATACAAAAATCCCCATCAAAATCCATCTGTTTAAGCTAGAGATATGGGCTGCATCTCAATCCACCGCATCCAACAATGGCAGCCTTCTGCATCTGCGGTGGAATGTGGCCGATTTACAGGGATGTTTGTCAGACCATGAGACATCCCGAAAATCAGTCTTCTCACGAAAACGTCTGTAGCTAATATGACCCCACTATGGAAAGGTGAGACTCACGAACACGTACAGTGCATTCGGAAAGTATTCAGAACCCTTGACTTTTTCCACATTTTGTTACGTTACAGCCTTGTTCTAAAATGGATACAATTGTTTTTTCCCTCATCAATCTACACACAATACCCCATTATGACAAAGCAAAAACTGTTTTGTAGAAATTTTAGCAAATGTATTAAAAATCAAAAACTTATATCACATTTACATAAGTATTCAGACCCTTTACTCAGTACTTTGTTGAAGCACCTTTGGCAGCGATTACAGCCTTGTGTCTTCTTGGGTATGACGCTACAAGCTTTGCACACCTGTATTTGGGGAGTTTCTCCCATTCTTCTCTGCAGATCCTCTCAAGCTTTGTCAGGTTGGATGGGGAGCGTCGCTGCACAGCTATTTTCAGGTCTCTCCAGAGATGTTCAAGTCCAGGCTCTGGCTGGGCCACTCAAGGACATTCAGAGACTTGTCCTGAAGCCACTCCTGCATTGTCTTGGCTGTGCTTAGGGTCGTTGTCCTGTTGGAAGGTGACCCTTCGCCCCGGGCTGAGGTTCTGAGCGCTCTGGAGCAGGTTTTCATCAAGGATCTCTCTCTGTACTTTGCTCTGTTCATATTTCCCTCGATCCTGACTAGTCTCCCAGTCCTTGCCGCTGAAAAACATCCCCACAGCATGATGCTGCCACCAACATGCTTCACCGTAGGGATGGTGCCAGGTTTCCTCCAGACGTGACGCTTGGCATTCAGGCCAAAGAGTTAAATCTTGGTTTCATCAGACCAGAGAATCTAGTTTCTCATGGTCTGAGTGCGGGCTGTCATGTGCCTTTTTACTGTGGAGTGGCTTCCGTCTGGCCACTCTACCAAAAAGGCCTGATTGGTGGAGTGCTGCAGAAATGGAAGTTTCTCCCATCTCCACAGAGGAGCTCTGGAGCTCTGTCAGAGTGACCATCGGGTTCTTGGTCACCTCCCTGACCAAGGCCCTTCTCCCCTGATTGCTCAGTTTGGCCGGGTGGCCAGATCTAGGAAGAGTCTTGGTGTTTCCAAATATCATTTGAATAAACATTCTACATTACCATGGATATTTTTGCATCACAATACCAGGTAGCCATTGCGAGTGTAGCCATGAGTTTAACCCTGGCAATTTGACTGGTAGAGGTTCCAAAGACGTCAATTCAACGGCTCAGACACGAGACGTATGTGGCAGGGTCTACATACAATCACGGACTACAAAAGTAAAACCAGCCACGTCGCCGACACCGACGTCTTGCTTCCGGACAAGCTTAACACCTTCTTTGCCCGCTTTGGGGATAACACAGTGCCACCGACGCGGCCCACTACCAAGGACTGTGGGCTCTCCTTCTCCGTGGCTGACGTGAGTAAGACGTTTAAGCATGTTAAACCCCGCAAGGCTGCCGGCCCAGACGGAATCCCTAGCCACGTCCTCATAGCATGCGCAGACCAGCTGGCTGGTGTGTTTACGGACATATTCAATCTCTCCCTATCCCAGTCTGCTGTCACCGTTTGCTTCAAGATGCCCACCATTTTTCCTGTAACCAAGAAAGCAAAGGTAACTGAACTAAATGACTATCGCCCCGTAGCACTCACTTCTGTCATCATGAAGTGCTTTGAGAGACTAGTCAAGGATCATATCACCTCTACCTTACCTGTCATCCTAGACCCACTTCAATTAGCTTACTGTGCCAATAGATCCACAGACGATGCAATCGCCATCACACTGCACACTGCCCTATCCCATCTGGACAAGAGGAAAACCTATGTAAGAATGCTGTTCATTGACTATAGCTCAGCATTCAACACCATAGTACCCTCCAAGCTCATCATTAAGCTCGAGGCCCTGGGTCTGCACCCCGCCCTGTGCAACTGGGTCCTGGACTTCCTGACGGGCCGCTCCCAGGTGGTGAAGGTAGGAAACAACACCTCAACTTCGTTGATCCTCAACACAGGGGCCCCACAAGGGTGCTTGCTCAGCCCCCTCCTGTACTCCCTGTTCACCCATGACTGCGTGGCCAAGCACGCCTCCACCTCAATCATCAAGTTTGCAGACAACACAACAGTAGTAGGCTTGATTACCAACAATGACGAGACAGCCTACAGGGAGAAGGTGAGGGCTCTGGGTGTGTGGTGCCAGGAAAATAACCTCTCACTCAACGTCAACAAAACAAAGGAGATGATCGTGGACTTCAGGAAACAGCAGAGGGTCCACCCCCCTATCCACGTCGACGGGACCGCATTGGAGAAGGTGGAAAGCTTCAAGTTCCTTGGCGTACACATCACTGACAAACTGAAATGGTCCACCCATGCAGTCAGTGTGGTGAAGAAGGCACAACAGAGCCTCTTCAACCTCAGGAGGCTTGGCACCTAAAACCCTCAAACTTTTACAGATGCACAATTGAGAGCACCCTGTTGGGCTGTATCACCGCCTGGTACGGCAACTGCACCACCCGCAACTGCAGGGCTCTCCAGAGGGTGGTGCGGTCTGCCGAACGCATTACAGGGGGAAAACTACCCGCCCTCCAGGACACCTACAGCACCCGATGTCACAGGAAGGCCAAAAAGATCATCAAGGACATCAACCACCCGAGCCACTGCCTGTTCACCCCACTATCATCTAGAAGGCGAGGTCAGTACAGGTGCATCAAAGCTGGGAACGAGAGAATGAAAACCAGCTTCTATCTCAAGGCCATCAGACTGTTAAATAGCCATCACTAGCACATTAGAGGCTGCTGCTGCCTGTAGAAATCACTGGCCACTTTAAGAAATGGAACACTAGTTACTTTAATAATGTTTACATATCTTGCATTACTCATCTCATATGTATATACTGTATTCTATAATATTCTACTGTATCTTAGTCCATTCCACTCTGTCATTGCTCTTCCATATATGTATTGTTAATTCCATTCCTTACTTAGATTTGTGTGAATTGGGTATATGTTGTGAAATTGTTAGATATTACTTGTTAGATATTACTGCACTGTCGGTGCTAGAAGCACAAGCATTTCGCTACACCCGCAATAACATCTGCTAAACACGTGTATGTGACAAATAACATTTTATTTGATCATCCTTGAGCTGTTTCTACAACTTGAATGGAGTTCACCTGTGGTAAATTCAATTGATTGGACTTGATTTGGAATGTCTATAGAAGGTCCCACAGTTAACACACCTGTCTATAGAAGGTCCAACAGTTGACAGTGCATATCAGAGCAAAAACCAAGCCATGAGGTCAAAGGAATTGTCCGTAGAGCTCCGAGACAGGATTGTGTCGAGGCACAGATCTGGGGAAGGGTACCAAAACATTTTTGCAGCATTGAAGGGCCCCCAAGAACAGTGGCCTCCATCATTCTTAAATGGAAGAAGGTTGGAACCACCAAGACTCTTCCTAGAGCTGGCCGCCTGGCCAAACTGAGCAATCAGGGGAGAAGGGCCTTGGTCAGGGAGGTGACCAAGAACCCGATGGTCACTCTGACAGAGCTCCAGAGTTCCTCTGTGGAGATGGGAGAACCTTCTAGAAGGATAATCGTCTCTGCAGCACTCCACCAATCAGGTCTTTATGGTAGAGTGGCCAGACAGAAGCCACTCCTCAGTAAAAGGCACATGACAGCCCGCTTGGAGTTTGCCAAAAGGCACCTAATGGACTCAGATGATGAGAAACCAGATTCTCCGGTCTGATGAAACCAAGATTGAACTCTTTGGCCTGAATTCCAAGCGTTACGTCTGGAGGAAACCTGGCACCATCCCTACAGTGAAGCATGTTGGTGGCAGCATCATGCTGTGGGGATGTTTTTCAGCGGCAGGGACTGGGAAACTAGTCTGGATTGAGGGGAAAGATGAACGGAGCAAAGTACAGAGATCCTTGATGAAAACCTGCTCCAGAGCGCTCAGGACCTCAGACTGGGGCGAAGGTTCACCTTCCAACAGGACAACGACCCTAAGCACACAGCCAAGACAACGCAGGAGTGGCTTCGGGAAAAGTCTGAATGTCCTTGAGTGGCCCAGCTAGAGCCTGGACTTGAACCCGATCTAACATCTCTGGAGAGACCTTGAAAATAGCTGTGCAGCGACGCTCCCCATCCTACCTGACAGAGCTTGAGAGAATCTGCACAGAAGAATGGGAGAAACTCCCCAAATACAGGTGTGCCAAGCTTGTAGCATCATACCCAAGAAGACTCAATGCTGTAATCGCTGCCAAAGGTGCTTCAACAAAGTACTGAGTAAAGGGTCTGAACTATGTGACATTTCCATTTTTATTTTTATTTTTATAAATTTGCAAAAATCTCACAAAAACAGTTTTTGCTTTGTCATTATGAGGTATTGTGTGTATATTGGTGAGGGGAAAAAACAATTGAATCCATTTTAGAATAAGACTAACGTAACAGAATGTGGAAAAAGTCAAGGGGTCCGAATATTTTCTGAATACACTGTATATTTGACACTCCTTAGCTATTTTGTCTAGCTATAAAAAATAAAAACGTAGGCTAAGAGTATGACTTTGGGCTAGGCTACGCTTTCATCATTTTATGCATGCATGGCTTTCTCCCGATCAAACAATGAATGAATCTAATGAGCTCCATCTCAAAAAGTTGTTTGAATATCCTTAAAACGTAAGGTAGCCAGGGGACTATAATAATGATAGAACAAACAATATCAATAGCCTATAGAAAAATCGAATTGCAAGTTTAAGCTTATTAAGAAATAAATTATCCCTCCATGCGAGGTTGAAAACCAAATGTCCAAGTTAAAGCTATGAACGTAGCCTATTTCCCAAATATTCTAATAGCCTAAGAAGGTGTTGTCCTAAAGTTGCCGCTTTCAAAACGAACAAGAATGAAAGTCGGGAGTCTAGGCCTAGGCATAGACTGTTCTTAATCACAGCCTTATGAGCGATTGAACAAACAATATTAAGAGAGGACGATGAAGCAAATAAAGCAATTAGTAGTTAGTTCTGAAAACTGTAGACTTTGCTTCTATCCAGCCCATGATTTATAACCTAACTCGCTATCGAAAGACAGCCCGTTTCTCATCAGTTATCTGTCACTTTGCTCTGTCATGTGCGCGCCGCACAGACCCACACAAATCTGTTCCATGCTGAAGCATGACCAAAAGGAATATTAGATCATGTTTGCCTGCACTTAGCATTTGCCCAGGCTTTCAACAACATAGTTCGTTATGATTCATCCAGTTGTAGCATGTGATTTTAATGTTATAGCCCAACGGTGGTTAAAAAATGAATATTTGTCTCACGTTTTATGAGTAAATAATCACGATAGCACAAAGGTTGACATCGCCCAACCCTAGCTGAGATAATTGGATATGAGAAAGAATTATTATGAAAAGTCTCCACCATATTGCTTTGTTCTGTCTTATTTAGACATAGTTATCTTGGCTGCGAAGGGAAGAAAGATACCATAAAACAATGGAATTTGTTCATTTCAGGGCCTTTCTAGAGCAATTATCTCCCATTCATACTGGCTTTGCCCGTTCAAACCAACCCACAATTTGTCTATTAACGGCTTATACTGATTTTTAAAAAAAATAGGGTTTAACCAATTGCTAATTATGCCCATGGTTAGGTTTTTAATGTTCAAAAGCCCATAGACTTTTGAATTAATCACACATTACTGTTAAGTTGTTATATTCAACAGCATAACTGATTTCAAAGCGTCTCACTTCAAAGTGCTTAGATTTTTTCCCCCCTATTTGTTGTGGTTGAGGATGAGCTACCATCAAGTATTTTTCTCCTCATCTCTTGATTTAATATTCTGTATGTTTAATCAGTGTCACTTGTTGTAATTCCGAGTGAATTTCACAAAGTAAATGAAGAGATAAAAGACTCTTAAATAAACCAACATGTGATCAGATTTTCACTCCAAATTACAAAGGGCTCAATCCTTTAAACATAAGTTGTATTTTTTTCCCATTTTACTTTTAGACCTGAATATCAAGAGTCCCATCTTTCATTTATATCTTTTGAAGTCTGTTCTTTAAAGGGTTTTCATAACTTGTATGCCAACTCATGTTGATTACACCATATTGTACACCATAAGGCTGGAAACACCTGTATAAATCATCAGTGTACATGTTTATATATTATTCCATTAGTATATTAGTCCACACTTCATAATAAATTAGTTGTAATAAGTAGAAATGTATCAGCTAGTTACAGCCATTACTCTGCCCTGAATTGTCGTCCTCTCCATCAGCCAGAGATGTCTCACAGTTTCACCCCTATAGCTTCCCATTGTTGGGGCAGGTAGCCTAGTGGTTAAGAGCGTTGGGCCAGTAACCGAAAGGTCAATGGTTCAACTCCCCGAGCCGACTAGGTGAACAATCTGTCTGTGCCTTTTGAGCAAGCACTTAACCCTAATTGCTCCTGTAAGTCGCTCTCGATAAGGACGTCTGCTAAATGACTAAAATGTAAATGTTGGAGGTTATGCTGACCAGTAGTTCTAAGCCTTTTAACCAAATCTATTTGTGTTGTAGCCCCTCCAAGTCATGGACCCAGACCATCCACTGGCAGCGCTGATCCGGAAAACCCGTCAGGAACAGAACGGAGCCGCCGCTGCTGCAGCCGCCATCATGGCAACCAAGCCAGAGGAAGTACCCGCAGAGCCAGCTGTGCCCGCCACACCCGCAGAGTACATCGCTGACTGTGAGTACACTGTGAAATCCAATACCTGAGGAGCATTCATATTAGCACCGAGGGAGCCTCTTCATTTCAATTTAGTCCTGGTCCACTTCATTTCTCTCCCCATTTATTTGATATTTTTTTCTCTCAATGCAAGCTCAGTCTCTCAGACAGGCAGAGTGGCACTCAATTGTTTAGTAGTGAGCACCGAACCCCTGGAAGCAAAAAGAATGGTCAACTTGTTAAAATTCTCTTTATGTTTGAGAAACATTGGTGTTAATATCAGATTAGAATCTCTAGGAGGAAAGGTACATTGAATTAGCCTAGTGGAAAACATATATATCGGACACAGGCACATGTTCCCACTGTAGCCGTGGAGGTGACCCTGCGGCTCATAGTGGAAAAGCTCATTAACATGGTCTCCTGTAGGCCCGTGACACTGCTGAAACGTCCTCTACCAGGAGTTCAATACTAGAAAGCATTTACATTTAAGTCATTTAGCAGACATTCTTATCCAGAGCGACTTACAGGAGCAATTAGGGTTAAGTGCCTTGCTCAAGGGCACATCGACAGATTTTTCATCTAGTTTGCTCTGGGATTCGAACCACCGCTAGGCTACCTACCGCCCTTCACCTTCACACACCTTGAGGACTGATTAGCACAGACTGAATCCAGGAGCGATTTTCACCACTTGACCCTCAGGGATTGTGAGTACTTAAAGGTTCTTAACAGTTTTCAAAGTCTCCAAGAAGGTATTTTTTACTTGTTTCTTATCCTTGAAGTTGTGCCTAGTTCATTTTCAGATCTGCAGTGAGCTGCTGTTTTGGACGCACTGACAAACTGTTCTTCTTGCTCTTCATTGACGGCAGTGTTGCTGTTTGTTTTGCGCTGAACGCTGGTGGATAGAATCCAAATCGGCTTTTCTGGCAGCTCCACAGATGTTTGCTTCCTCTAAATGCTGACATCTTTCCCACTTCTTTTTCTGGCTGGCACACACACACACACACACACACCACCGGTCTAGGCAAGAGCAGCTGCATACAACGACCAGTTCTCTCTTGCTTGACCCAAACACTTGAAGACGTCTACTGTTATTCAGCTCATGCACAGTTTATCCTAAGCAACACACACAAGAATACTCTTTAACAACTTTAACTCACTGTATGACTGTACTATTCCTCTAGCAAATCTAGTGCAAAAATTGCAACATCACAGAATCACTAGTCTCTCGGGGCTATTCACATAGTTCTCGGGGCATCCGAGTCTACAGAATCACCATCTAATTTCATGGCTTCTTTAAACCTTAGCAATTTTCTCTCTACTGTCTGCATTAGTTGTAGGTGATGGATGGTGAAGGTGCTGGGTGTGATATGGGGTGCCAGGCTAACCCTAAACCTCCTTGAGAGATGTTCCTTACAATTTTGCTCTTCGTATTTCCCAGGGTTAACCCTGTCTTCCCTCTTTGTCTGCACATGTCCCGGTGCTTGGGAGAGACAGCTCAAGCTGAGTGAGCTGATTTGTCTTAGTTAGCGGGACTGGAAGAGCTCCACTGGTTTTCTGTGGTAGGAGAGCGAGAGAGACATCGACACCGCACAGCAGCACAGGCATGGATTTTTAATGCACTGGCTTATGGCGACAAGATAATCATTTTGGAGAGATTTTGCTCCCGTAGATCCAACTTTTATTTCTGTGTATGGCGCTGGTTCTCTGAGAGAATTCCTGTAAACTCAGACTGGAGAGGATCAAAGGCAATAGACTGCTTAATGTTATCCTCCAGTATCTGCCAATGAGTAGCGTATTGAATGAGAATTAGGCAAGAGGAGTTAAAACTGAATAACAGTTTTGGGCTGTTCTCAACTGTCCAAAGTGCGCAACATTGCAGCTCCTTTAATTCGTTATAACTTTGCTAGCGCTTTGCTAGCTCTTCAACAGGACAATTGGGCCTAGTTGCTTTTGGGACGAATGTTTCGTGGTGTCATCTGATTGAACTCAAATGACCACTTATTCCCTTCTATTCTACATTTACATTTTAGTCATTTAGCAGACGCTCTTATCCAGAGCGACTTACAGTTAGTGAGTGCATACATTTTAATTTTTTTCATACTGGCCCCCCGTGGGAATCGAACCCACAACCCTGGCGTTGCAAGCGCCATGCTCTACCAACTGAGCTACACGGACTATGGATTCTCTGTTGTAATACTGGCGCGTTTTACATTCTAATACAGTGAACATGAAGCATATTAGATCATTTGCATGATCACTGAAGACAACTCTTCCTAGAAATGTAGAGAAGCTGTCTAGACTGCAATAGGGAGACTGGGCTTTTCTATCTTGAGACTGGGCTATTCTTTCTGCCCCGTTGGGTGACATACGTCCCATTCTCTCTTGACCTCCGAGGCCCTGATGATGCAATGCAGCCTACTGTTACACCCTGTTAGTTAAACAGTCCACAGACAAGCATCTCACAATACACTGCACTGTACATCCATCCACAATGACTCACCAACACTCCTCCGCAAAGCAGTCCGTCCATTTATCCGTTTCACCCACCTCGTCTGGGCTCATTGGCCACTACTGATTCATGGGCCAGTATAAAAAAAATGTATTCACTAACTGTAAGTCGCTCTGGATAAGAGCGTCTGCTAAATGACTAAAATGTAAATGTAAATGTGTAAGACTTACTAATCCATGAATGCTATTTATTTATCCTATAGACCAGGGGTGTCAAACGTCCGGCCCGCGGGCCGGATCAGGCCCGCAAACGGGTTTAATCCGGCCCGCGAGATGATAAAAATAAAATAAAAATAATAATAATAAAAAATAAAATGAAAAAAATGTGTAAAGTATAAAAATGCGCTGCAATTTTTCAATAAAACAAACTGCTGTTCCAATTGCGTCCACTGGATGGCGCAATAGCAATTGTGTTAAGCAAGCAAACTGTTTATACCGGGGCAGAGCAAGTAGGTCAAGCACGTGCAGCCAATGAGCTACTTTGTTTTGTCCGCGATATTTATTACGGCTTCTACTTTTAACATTATGTGCTTTGGCACCCTCTTTGCCCCAATATGTCTCTGTCAAAAAAGAGAAAAGTGGACGCAGAGTGCAGAGTGTTCCAAGAAAAATTGTCATCCTATTTATTCACGGAATTGAATGGGAAAGCTGTATGTTTGGTGTGTTCAGAGCATGTTGCAGTGCTGAAAGAATATAACCTTCGTCGCCACTATGGGAGTCTTCATGCCGACAAATATGACAACTTTCAAGGACAGCGGAGATGAGAGAAGGTGAATGAACTGTTGGCGGGTCTGAAGAAACAGCAGTCTGTGTTTACTCACAGCCGAGACATCAGTGACGCTGCAGTGAAAGCTAGCTACCTCATTGCTAATGAAATCGCAGTGGCTTCAAAACCATTTAGTGAGGGTGAATTTGTAAAAACATGCATGATGAAGGCAGCGGAGATTGTGTGCCCTGAAAAGCGGCAGGCTTTTGCAAATATCAGCCTGACAAGAAACACAGTTGCAGACAGGATTTCTGATCTTTCAGTGGATTTGGACAGCCAGTTGAAGCAAAAAGTAAAGTCATTTATTGCGTTTTCGGTTGCAATTGATGAAAGCACGGACATTACAGATGTTGCACAACTGGCGATTTTCATCCGCGGAGTTGATGACACATTGACCGTCACCGAGGAGTTCGTGGAGTTGGTGCCGATGACAGATACAACGACAGCAGCTGATATTTTTACCGCACTCGTCGGCGCGCTGGACAGGGTCGGAGTGGACTGGTCCCGCGCTGTCAGCCTGGCTACAGATGGTGCGCCCTCAATGATCGGGAAAAAAGCAGGCGTTGTGACAAAGTTCAGAGAGAAAGTGCAATCTGCAAATGGAGGACGTGATTTTTTGACTTTTCACTGTATTTTGCACCAGGAGGCTTTGTGTTGCAAGTCATTAAAGATGGATAACGTCATGAAGGTGGTCATCCAAACTGTTAATTTCATCCGATCCAGAAGCCTGAATCACCGTCAGTTTGACAGCCTTCTCAGAGAGAAAGACCACATCTATGGCCTGCCATACCACACTGAGGTAAGATGGTTAAGCCGAGGTGCTGTGCTGAGGCGTTTCTTTGATTTACGAGAAGAAATTGAACAGTTCATGGAAGAAAAGGGCAAACCAGTGTTAGAATTTAATTCCGCAGAATGGATGCAGGACCTTGCATTTATGGTGGATGTTACAGAGCACCTGAATAACTTGAACAAACAGCTGCAAGGGCGCAACAAAGTTGTCACGCAGTATTATGACAGCATACGTTCTTTCAAGTTGAAGCTGTCATTGTGGGAGACGCAACATGGCGGTGGTGATGCAGCTCACTTCCCCTGTCTGAAAAATGTGTGCGCGACCCAACATGTGGCAGACATGAAGCGGTTCAAAGATAAAATAACGGGACTGTTACGGGAGTTTGAGCAACGCTTTCAGATTTATGTTTATATGTTTTTATGTTGATGTGCTATTGTTTTTAATTGTTATTTTATTTGTATATTTAACCTATTCTTGACTCTGTGGTTCTTGCACTTGTTTGGGGAACAGGATTTCATTATTTTTATCTACATTTCTGCCTGAGAAATGACACCCTGATATAGTTCTGTGATATACTTCTGTGAATCACTGAGGCATTGTGTGTTTGTGTGTTCTTTGTCCTCAGAACTTTCAAATAACTTGAGGTGTTTTATGATTAATAGTGATGTTGTGCTTTTGGACACTGTCCTCAGGCTCCAGCTTTATGTTTATATGTTTTTATGTTGATGTGCTATTGTTTTTAATTGTTTTTATTTTCTTTGTATATGTAACCTATTCTTGACTCTGTGGTTCTTGCACTTGTTTGGGGAACAGGATTTCATTATTTTTATCTACATTTCTGCCTGAGAAATGACACCCTGATATAGTTCTGTGATCTGTGATATACTTCTGTGAATCACTGAGGCATTGTGTGTTTGTGTGTTCTTTGTCCTCAGAACTTTCAAATAACTTGAGGTGTTTTATGATTAATAGTGATGTTGTGCTTT